TAAATTCCTGATTCTGAAAAGAAATGATCCTGCCGATAGTGAAGAGGAGCGTGCAGCGAGAGTGAAGATGCGTTACATGATGAAGAAATGTTTTACACTTCCAGATTTCATTTCCTAGATATTTTGTTTTGATGGAGCCGCAGTTCTCTGGTTAACTCCACGGAGGCGGGTAGTAGCGCTCTAACTCCCACATGCTGCTGTGAAGGCAGACATGAAGCATCGTCTATGAGGCCTTTAAGACGCATCAATCTGCAGTTATCTCAGTTTAATCAGATTTGTTTTCAGAGTTTTTAGGGTTTCTCTTCATCGTCTTCTGCTCTAAGTTTTATTGGTGAGAGAAATGTTCAAACTGAAATGAGGGCAACTCTTCATAATCCACCCTGAAACTCGTCCACCAGATATGGCTTCTTTACTGTTGATGTTTTTGTGTGATTTTCTCTTGGATTCTGACTGTTTCTGAAGGGAATCAGTGTCTCTGATAAATAAAGAAAAGAAACTGTATTCAAAAACGGCCTCAGAAAACAGATTTATAGTTTCTTTTACTGAAATAAGCAGTTGAATAAGATGACTGTGTCCCTCGCGTCCTCGCTGGCTCAGTATGTGACCCGATCCGTCTGAGTGAGACTCACTTTGACATGATCTGGAAGGAGGAACTCTGGTTCATCCAGCCTGATTAATCTGATCTGCTTCGTATCATCCTGAGGAGACAAAGAGCAGAAAGTCTGACAGCAGATTTGATCAGGGCTGTCTGAGGATCTGTACTGCTCTCAAGGAGGGAATCCTCCACAAACATCAAACCGCCTCAGCAGACGGGGGCTCTCTGGTGCACAGATGAGCTTCATTAATCACTCGCTGTTCAGCTTCGCTGCCTGTTTTCACTGCTGATTGCTTGAGATCAAATCGGTTTTTGCAGCGTCTGCAGGAGGAGATGAGGCTGCAGTGAGTCCACAGCTGGTCTCTGTTCTCCTGCTGCTGTGGTTCTAAATGTCAGATGCAGAAAATCTTTTATTAAAACCGTATAAATCTTAGTTTCAACCAGTGCTACTCTCACACTTAGATGAACAGAAACATTGAAACCCCAGAAACATTTTTCGGACGATTTCCTAAAACCATGCAATAGAAAATGCAACTCAAACTGGATCAGTGCACATTTTTAAAGGTCATAGCTAGAATGTTTTTATCAAAATGATACATTTATTTAAAGGTACAACATCCACATAACATCTAGAGTGGTGCAACATAAATGTACAAATATTACTGAAAAATTAATTTTGTATACTTATGGTTTTAAATTATTCATATGTCATGATCTGCCCTGATAGCTGACCTTAATTATTGACTTCATTCACCTGCCTAACTCTGCACGGTTCAATCAATCAATCAATCAATCAATCAATCAATCAATCAATCAATCAATCAATCAATCAATCTTTATTGTCAACTACAATTTACATCACAATCAAAATTTAAGTACATCACATCGCATACATTAGGGTGGGGGGGCTAAGAGGGGGAATGGATTTACTGAGGCCATGCGTACCGCAGAACGCTGCTAGTAGCGCATTCTTATGGCTTGCCAGGTTCCCCCCGGTTACCTGGCTTCCCAGGTCCCAGGCGTATACCTACAGCTACATGGGGGAAGAGAGGGGGAAAAAAGCATATTTAACACTTTATCCTTGACAGGGTACAGCTTGAGATATCAAAAAAACCTCAGCACAAGAAAAGCACATAAAAACACATTTCAGAGACATTTCAGCAGAGGGTCACATCAGAGGTGGAGTCATATGAAGTAAATCTGACATTTGAGACATTAGTTGTGTGTGTATGATGAATGCTTTCAATACGTCTGTAGACGCCACCCACAGGCAATATCCTTGATGAGATGGAAGTTTATCAACAGTTACTGAGTGCATCCACAGATGTTCACGGGTAGGGGAGGGAGGGAGAAGTTCTTCTGTGCCCTTTCACCGTAACATTGGAGATTAGATAAAGGCGGGAGGTCGAATCCAGAATAACACTTATTGTTTTGAGATCAGGCTGCACAGGAATTTCCCTCAGCCTTGAGTATTTTCTTGCTGGCTCTTTCGTGGCGAGACTAATATACCAAATTTGTTGGGCTTTTCCACCTTGAAGCAAGCGTTCACATCCAAGATATTATCCCATCTCACCTTTGAGTTTAACCGCCACAGCTAGTCTGCGCTCAATCACACCCAGCATGCGGGTCATCTCCCAGTCCTGCTCGTTCACAGCCTGAAATTGGAAGTTAAGTTTTCATTTAGGTTAGCAATAGTGGACCTGGCTACTGGCTGGCAAACGATACAGAGAGCAGGTGAGTGGGGATGCGCCACTTACTGGGCAGGAGTTAAACTTGTAGTTATGGCTTTCAGTTTCTGACCCACAAAGGGCCGAATCTAAACTTCTTTAAAACTGGTTCCATGGATCGGTTCTGATTAGAAGCTGAGAATCTCAAACTGGTCGAAGCTTCATATAAAATTTGGGAACAAACTTCTGCCATTCAGCCTATAAGAAACCCCAGGGTGTCCAATCAAAGCAAACACAGTAATCTCAGTATAATCTCTCCATGGTTTCTAATGAGAACCTGGGCTCAAGAGCCTGAGAGACAGACTTTGCTTTGGTGAGGAACATCCCAGCCCGTAAACATTAGGAGTTCTGGACACTGGTCTGAACCTGAACCATATGGCCAAACCAGATATGTCCTTGGTTTCAAAAAGGCACAGGGAAAGGACACTAAAGCCCACTGATATATTAGCTCTCTCTGTAGAGAACCTGTAAAAGCTCTAAATGAGGTCTGGTTTTTTTCTGTAAACATCTGAAGCTCAGTTTAGAGTCGGTCTGAGGCAGAAAGTTAGAGTAATCATTTGTTTTCATGGGATTTGCCTTTTTCCTTGTTATCTATGGAGTTGTTCAGGAAAAGAGGCTCTAGAATTAAAAAATCAGTCAAGTTTGAAGGATTAATGTGATTAGATAACAGTTTATAATGTTTTCATTAAAGCTGCTTTTCTGTCGTTTTAATTAGTTTCATCAGTGAGCTGCAGAATCTTCTGTTTCCTTCTTAGTTTTCCTTCATTAAACAGACAGAAACACTCAACAGGATTACAGCAGAAAATGTTCTGCAGATAAAAAAAAACTGATTAAACATTAATAACATTTAGAAAACACTCATTTCTGCAGGGATTGACCACAGATAAAACATCTAGGAGACGCTGACAGCTGGTCTAAACGCTGTGTTATTATTTAATTCTTGATGACCATTGTAAACGTCGCTGTAAATTTTTCCTTATTTCAAACTTTAATGTTCGTCTTTTCTGAAGCTTTTTTTGGACTTTAGATCATCTGTTTAGGTGCTGAAAATCATCCAGCCAGGGTCGGTGTTGGAGATCTTCTAATATTGTTGTTGGAGCTGAAGGTTGGTGGACCTGACCCGGCTGGGAGAGGCTCCCTCGCTCTGAATTATTAATGCTGGACTGTAGAGAGAAGCTCTTCCTCCCTCCTGGTTACCTCTCCTCTCCAAACACATCTATCTTCCTCTGATCTCTTCCACTGCTCTTTCTCTTCTTCAGAGAACATAACCATTCCAGAGTCCCATCTGAAGAAGCAGCGTACAGAGAATATTTCATAAATGAGTTGGTTTGGAATCTGTGGATTCTTTGATTCCCGAGGAAAAACTTTTAGGTGATTTTTGAAAGTCTGAGTGAACTTTTTCTTGTTCATTTCAGTCCTTTTATGGTTTTTCAGCTGCAGCACTGAGCTGAACTTACTGACCTCCAGGATCTTCTGGAGCAGAATAAAGAATAACTCCCAGAGTTAAATGAGATGTGTGGTTATGCAGGATTTAGAGTTTCAGGGAGAGAAAAAAACATATGTTTGTGTTTTTTCTTTGTCTGAAAGTATGAAATTAAGCTGAATGATAATATGGTTATTATTAATTCATGAGTGAAAATATATTATAAACATGCTCTATGAATCCCTATTTAAATAATTGGCTGTGACACATCTTTTTCTAAAAGAGATTTTAGTTTATCCGCTGCTTTCTTTTAACCTTGTTTCTTCTTGGTTGTTTTCCTCTTCCTGGTTCTCCTCACTTTCATCCTGAACCTACCTGACTGCTTCCATTCATTCCTCCGCCGTCTCTTGATTTTAATCTCCAACATCTGCTTTGATTCACCTGTGATAAATGTTCAGAAAGGGATTCTTTTGAAAATCAGCAGCACTCGCTGCTCCTTTAGGGTCAAGGACTTCAATTTATGAAGATGTGATGTTTCCTATGAAACTCTAACTATTGCAACTCTTTCAACGGTAAATAATATTCAATGTTTCCATCTGAATTATTACATTCTGGGAGTGGACTATTCAATAGGGGTAGTGGCTACCTAGTGGTTAGGGCCTAGAGCCTGGAATCCTGAGGATGTGAGTTCGAGACCAACTCCCACAGACTGCCACTCGGGCTCTTTGAGTAAAAGACCCTTAAACCCTGATTGGTGCCCCATGATGGCAGCCCACTGCTTCCCAAGGGGATGGGTTAAATGCAGAGGTAATTTACTCAATAAATTATTATTAACTACATATATGGATGCAGCTCCTGCAGAGTGACGAATCCATCCATGGTTCTGTCCTTCATGTTCCAAGATCTCTGCTGTGGTGTCATCTGTCCAGAGGACATTATCCTTGAAGTCTTGTCCTGACCAAAGTCCTGCGGTCATCTTGTTCCCGGAGAGAACAAGCTCCAAAGTGGCTCAGGGTTAGGACCTTTGACCTGCTTATCGAGGGTGGTACAGTCTGAGGTGGAGCTCTTGGGTTTTGGGTCATTTCTTTAACTTTCACGCCCTGATCGTAGGCTGAGATGTCTGAGATGTTTTCCTTTGATTGTACTCTCTTTCAGATGACCTTTAACACTTTCCTGATTGTTATGCACCAATAGCTGCTTTAATTTGCCAAATGGACAGATATTTTTCATGCTTTTCTCCTCTTCTCTCTTGCAGACATGGCTGAAGAACTACGGCTACCTGCTGCCTCATGACGTCCGGACGTCTGACCTGCGGCAGGAAAAAGCCATGCAGTCTGCCGTGGCCGCCATGCAGCGTTTCTACGGCATCCCAGTCACAGGAATCCTGGATGAGACAACGATAGAGTGAGTTACTGACTAATTTCAATGATAACTTCTTTTTAAATATCTTCATTTCCTATCCTGTTGTATGTCCAGGTGGATGCGGAGGCCTCGCTGTGGCGTTCCTGATCATCCTCACACCAGCCGCCGGCAGAGAAACAAACGTTACGCCTTGACAGGGCAGAAGTGGAGGGAGAAGAGGATCATCTACAGGTAATTGATCCGGCCTCCCTCTGGTTGGTTTGGCATAATGTGTCCCATGGTAGCTGGAATGCACCACCCCTCTCTCTGCCCGTATATTTACTGCTGTTTCTCGGGTTGCTGAGCTCTCACTGTTAAACCAATCGGGTCGGTGCTTTAAAAGCCGCTCTAATGCAGATTAGAAAACTCCCAGGAGACCCTGAACATATTCCAGCTCCTTCTGTTTCTTCTGTTCACATTATCATCCATCCAGAAACTGATCATCCAGCTGAATCTATGCATTAAAATTCTGAATCAGATTATAGAAAACCCATAAACTTGGTGAACAGAACCAAGATGTTGTTTCCATTCTGATGCTAATTACTTAGTTTCTTTCATTTATTCATTCATTAAACTTAAATATCTTTTTCAATATCAAACTTTCATATCAGAAGGTGAGAATCCTGAAAGTTTTAACAGGTAAACTCGATTCAGCTGGGCTGAACTGTATCATAATTGGATTTAATTAAATATATTAAATGTTGATATTATTTTATGGAGGTGCATTAATATCCTCATCACGATGATTAAGTTTGGATTTGTTTTTTGAATATGCTGTTTCATCTTACTTTGTTGGGTTTGGCTGCACTTTGTCACCGTTGTTTGCACTGGTGCCTTGGAGCAAAGAGGTCTCGAGTTCAAATCCCAGTGTCTTTGTGCATGGAGTTTTCCTGTGCATTCATGGTTCTCGATGTGTACTCCTAAAAGGACTGAGGGAGGAAGCTGGAGTTCTGTGTTTGAACTCAGAACTTTTAGTTTGTTTTCCCACCAAACCTTTGGAGAATTTTTTTCTGTCCCTGAAGTTCAGTTTCTGAAGCGGATCAGGCCAGGGTGACTCAGTCCAGGACCCTGGCTGATTACAACTTCTGGTGTTGGCGCTGTTTAATCAGACCCTGGAATGGTTCATTTGTAGTGTTAATGCTTGCTGGGCCAATGTAACATTAGCAGCAAGAAAGGATTTGATGTAAGAGCTGCAAAGTTCAGTAAAAGAGGAAAAAGAAAAGCAAAGTTACCCTCGTTCCAACACAATCCATGCTACCAATTACATATAATTACAGTCCTTTTTGGTTTTATGTTTGTATTTTATGGTACCTGTGTGGTTTATAGTGCTTAACCTACAGAAAACAGAACAAAAATACAGATAAACACAGTGTGATTGTCAGCGTGAGGGTGCAGTTTGGTTGAGGACCCAAATTCAGAGATGAGGGAGGCAGAGATGAGATCTTGTAGGTTTAATGAAGTAAACGGCAACAGAAACAAAATAAAAGAATAAGACCCCAAAAAAGAGGACACGTCAGGGAGCCAAGTAACAACCAGGAACCAGTGCTGAAGAACTGCACAGGGAGAGTATATATGGGAGACAGAAACTCCAAAAGGGGAAAACATAAATGTGATAAAATTTCTCCGGACTGATATGAGCATGTCGCTGATTTCAGACAAGCAATATAAAGTAAAGAATGTAAAAAAGTCATCTTTAATATTTCATACAGTGTAGTTTAACACGCTTTAACGATTTAATGTTAGGAATATTTTTGATACCCTAATTACATCATTTTATGGCGACCTGCATGTATTTCTGGTTTCACATGTGCAAATGTGATGGTTGTGATCAAGCTTCCTGTTCAGGTAGTGACAACACCACTCAAAAGGATTGTGGGAATCTTTATAGCTCCTCTATGCTAACTGAACCATCAGCATCCTGATTCATTTTCCTGCCTTCTTTCTTACAATACTTTGAAACTGCTGACGCACATCTGCTTCAGCCTAAGTGTCCTTAATGAATGGCACTATACGGCTTAACCCAAGAGCATAAACCTGAAGAGGAAATGTCTTGTTGGTCTACGTGAAGCAGAAAAAACTACATCTGAAAACTTGACTAGCAACAGAAACCTCATCAAAAAGACTTGGTTCTTCTGGCCTTTAATCTGTACAACAATGGACCAATACTGCCCCCAAAACAATCAGTTGCCATTGAATAATATTGTTAGGTCTGGTGTAAAAATATGGGTTAACTTAAATCATTGCCCCTGCAGTTGGGAATATTCTCACTTTAAATTTTCCCTGGACTGATTCCTGGACCAGAGGAACCTTTAATCCTGCACATCTATCTCCTCCCTGTAATCATGTGGGCGGCTCGGTTAGCAGAGAGGAAGCCGGCTGGGGAATAAATCCCAGCTCGGTGGGACCAACTCTGTGCTTTTAGTGCTGTGATGCAGACTGGACCCAAGCTAATAAACATCCTCCATCTTTTTTAAAAGCATATGGAGGCACAGAGCCAAACATGGGTTTTATTAAATGTATACACATATTGAAAAACCAAGCCTATAAATCAGAAAGGAAAGAATGAGCTCTACTGTAACACAGATGGATTAATCACACATGGTCAGCAAAACTGTTGGCTACACTTCAACTGTGGGAAATAAACAGAGGCTTAGATATGTCTGAAAATATAAATCATCCATCCATCATCCATGCATCCATCATCCATCCGTCCAACCATCATCCATGCATCCATCATCCATCCATCCATCCATCCATCATCCATAAATCCATCCATCTATCCATCCTTCTACTGTATCCATCCATCCATCCATCCTCCATTAATCCATCTATCATCCATCCATCCATCTATCCATCCATCCATTCATCCATCCATGCAACCATCCGTCATCCATAAATCCATCCATCATCCATCATCCATCCATCCATCATCCATCCATCTATCCATCCATCATCCATAAATCCATCCATCTATCCATCCTTCTACTGTATCCATCCATCCATCCATCCATCCATCATCCATCCATCCAGCCATCCATCAATCCATCATCCATAAATCCATCCATCATCCATCCATCCATCCATCCATCCATCCATGCATCCATGCATCCATCCATCCATCCATCCATCCATCCATCCATCTATCCATCCATCCATCCATCCATCCATAAATCCATCCATCATCCGTCCATCCAGCCATCCATCAATCCATCATCCATCATCCATCAATTCATCCTCCATAAATCCATCCATCCATCCATCCATCCATCCATCCATAAATCCATCCATCATCCATCCAGCCATCCATCCATCCATCATCCATGAATCCATCCATCATCCATCCATCCATCCATCATCCATCCATCCATCCATCCATCATCCATCCATCCATCATCCATCCATCCATCCATCCATCCATCCATCATCCATCCATCCATCCATCCATCCATCCATCATCCAGCCATCCATCCATCCATCCATCATCCATCCATCCAGCCATCCATCCATCCATCCAGCCATCCATCCATCCGTCATCCATGAATCCATCCATCATCCATCCATCCATCCATCCATCCATCCATAAATCCATCCATCATCCATCCATCCAGCCATCCATCCAGCCATCCATCCATCCGTCATCCATGAATCCATCCATCATCCATCCATCCATCCATCCATCCATCCATCCATCCATCCATCCATCATCCATCCATCCAGCCATCCATCCATCCATCATCCATCCATCCATCAATCCATCCATCCATCCATCCATCCATCCATCATCCATCCATCCATCCATCCATCCATCATCCATCCAGCCATCCATCCATCCATCATCCATCCATCCATCCATCCATCCATCCATCCATCCATCATCCATCCATCATCCATCCATCCATCCATCATCCATCATCCATCCATCCATCCATCCATCATCATCCATCATCCATCCATCCATCATCCATCCATCCATCATCCATCCATCATCCATCCATCCAGCCATCATCCATCCATCATCCATCCATCCATCCATCCATCCATCCATCCATCCATCATCCATCCATCATCCATCCATCATCCATCCATCCATCCATCCATCATCCATCCATCCATCCATCCATCCATCCATCCATCCATCCATCCATCCATCCGTCATCCATGAATCCATCCATCATCCATCCATCCATCCATCCATCCATCCATCCATCCATCCATCCATCATCCATCCATCATCCATCCATCCATCCATCCATCCATCCATCCATCCATCCATCATCCATCCATCCATCATCCATCCATCATCCATCATCCATCCATCATCCATCCATCCATCCATCCATCATCCATCATCCATCCATCCATCCATCCATCCATCCATCCATCCATCCATCCATCCATCATCCATCATCCATCCATCATCCATCCAGCCATCCATCCATCATCCATCCATCCATCCATCCATCCATCCATCATCCATCCATCCATCCATCCATCCATCCATCCATCCATCCATCCATCCATCATCCATCCAGCCATCCATCCATCCATCCATCCATCATCCATCCATCCATCCATCCATCCAGCCATCCATCCATCCATCCATCATCCATCATCCATCCATCCATCCATCCATCCATCCATCATCCATCCATCCATCATCCATCCATCCATCATCCATCCATCCATCATCCATCAATCCATCCATCATCCATCCATCCATCCATCCATCCATCATCCATCCATCATCCATCCATCCATCATCCATCCATCCATCCATCCATCATCCATCATCCATCCATCATCCATCCATCCATCATCCATCATCCATCCATCCATCCATCCATCATCCATCCAGCCATCCATCCATCCATCATCCATTCATCCAGCCATCCATCCATCCATCCATCCATCCATCCATCCATAAATCCATCCATCATCCATCCAGCCATCCATCCATCCATCTATCCATCCATCCATCCATCCATAAATCCATCCATCATCCATCCATCCATCCATCCATCTATCCATCATCCATAAATCCATCCATCATACATCCAGCCATCCATCCATCCATCTATCCATCATCCATAAATCCATCCATCCATCCAGCCATCCATCCATCCGTCATCCATGAATCCATCCATCCATCATCCATCCATCCATCCATCCATCCATCTATAAATCCATCCATC